GTCGGGGAGACATGATTTTGGGGGACATTTTACAGTGCTATAGAATAATTTTTCCGTGGTTGTTGTTTTGTCTGTTTGTTTGTTTGTTTTTGTTTTAAATACAATTGCACTGAGCAGCATAAATATATGTGTGTTGTATTTTAAACAATGGAAATAAAATAGTCATTTTACATACACTTCAAACAGGGACAATCAAAGAAAAAGATGTCACCACTTTGTCAAACGAATAACCATTCCGATATCATCTCAACCAACACGGCAACAAATTAGCCATGTCAACCGATGATTATCTGACGTCATCAAATCATCGACTCTTTGAAGAGAGCTCATCTTCCTGAAATTTAGTCTCCACGGCCAGGGGAGTGTGAAATCCTCCATCTCTGGGGGCTAGTTACCGTTTGAAGCCCCGATTACACATGGGTCACTTTTGCTTGGCTTTGCTTTTGCAGGTGTCCGAGATTCCTTTGAAAATCGCTTATTTTGGTAAGCTGTTAAATTAAAACCTCAGCAAATGTTTGGATTTATGCCAAAGACAGACGAGATGAATTAGTTAGGTGGACAAAATTTCAATTTATTTGAAAAACTTTTTTAAAAAAATGGCAAATTGCAGCGCAAAAAAAAAAAATCAAATTACTTTCCTGAAAAATATATGTTGAAGGGTTTTACAATATGTATATGTTCAAACTGACACAGAAAACATGTATTTGAAAATACTACGAAATAAATATACAATATATATTTGTTAATAAATAAGCAGCATGAGGAATAACCTAGTCAATATAAATGATAAGTAACTTTTATATTAAGAAACACCTCTGTCAGTGAAGTTATGAATGAAATGACTGTAAAGAAATATTAATATATGCAGAACACGAACCTGCAGATCTGGGCATTGCTTTAGAGGTTGATTTGAAGATAGCAATCTACAACGGCCGTCTACACATGGAGAATTTAAAAAAAAAAATGGCCAAAGTCTCAGGAGTTCCAACAGTGTTTGAAACCTAAGAAATTTTGTTTTGACGTTCATGAATCATTATTTACTGTAAAGCCTGGGAATTATCGGGTCCAATCTGCGATAGATCGCGTTAGATCGCATCAAGTGAGCGCAAAAAGCCTACTGTATATAGGAACGCTACATCTGCAGAGGTTTCTCAGTGTGAGTGAGACAGGATTCCCCAATTCAGAACCACTTAAAACACCTCACAAAACGACTCTATCCAATACAACAGACTTAACTTCATATGTTTGAAAGGCAAATTAATTTGTTTATTATAAACATGGGTTATTGTTTTTCAAAACATGTAAAGTGAAATCTATTAAGTTTATTACATGTTGATACTCCAGCGATAGGAAGTTGATTTGTCTTTCAACATTTTTGCTGTCTGTTTTTATGAGTTTGAAAATTCGTCCCTTCTTTTTGTGGCAATATTTTTCTTCAAACATTTAAAGAGTAGGAACTTTATTTTTCAATCGCACGTTAAATTACATTAAGTACACAAGACATTTCTATGCGCCAACTGGAAAATGTCCGTGGATGATTTTGTTTTTCTAAATGAAAGCAAGCATTGAGGCAGAAAAAGAAATTTTCGTCCATTCTCCGCCTAGAAAAACATTGGACCTAATCTGTAGGGCCGACCAGCAAGGATTTCGATTGAACTTGCAACAATGGAAGCAATAAAGCATAGACCCTGTTTTGTGTTTTTTATTTTCTTATATTTATACTTAATTTAAGAACATAATGCTTTTCCAAACATCGTCGGATATTTGGGAACCGTCCGCTGATAGAAAGCATCCGCCGCCGTGACGTAGCAGTAATCACACGTTTTATTATCTATTTCAACTGCGCGTAAAGCCCTCGTTAGAGTCTGACAAATTTACCGGCTAGTTCTGTCAGATTCTACAACAATATTCAGATCGATCTTTATCGCGCTGTCTGACAAATTCTCAGATTAATATATAATATAAAGACCAAGATGTCATGACAGAAAATGCAGGGGAGGGTTTTATTCAAGACATTTATAAATACCCTCATATCATACAGATTTATTTGGGGGAAAAAAGATATTTATGAAGATTGAGTCTTCCAATGTAGTGAAAACTTCAATAATTTTCAGATTATATTATAAAATAAAAAATATATTTCAAAAATATTTTTCAATGTCAAAAAAGAAGTAAATAAATAAAAATCACAGCATTATTTTCGTATACTTTAAAATATACTGTACTGCTGTAAATATGAAATCGATAATATGTCATGTCATTTACATAATTTTTCATGTCTTATCTTGATATATGTTGGTATTCGACATTCCACGTAATTGTATGTTTAATCCAATAAAAAGGAATATCTAGAGAATCTTTCTATTTTGTGTGTGTGTTTTCTTTGTTTTTAAACTACATGTACTAATAATTGAAATTTAATGCATTCATTTTGCATGTATGTTCGAATAAATTAATAAAGAGAGTTCTAGATAAATAAATATAAATGACAAAGATATATGACTGGAAATGCACTGAAATAATCAATCATATTGCTGTAAATCTACATGAAATTTTATTTTAGTTTTATTTTCTCTTGAAACAAACTGTGTGCATGTTAACTCCATGAAAACTCTACAGGCAAAAGTACATTTGTATGCGAAATTCGAGACAGGTCAAGAAAAAAGAGCGGGGTTTGAAAACTGTTTCGGAACAAAGTGACCAATGTCAAGTTGAATCCCACCTGGTTAAGTCTTGTACAGGAATGCTGAGGGGGGAATCTGTAGATAATTACCACCAAGAGTAACCAGTTATAACCAAGGGCGAAAGAAAACAAGCCGCGATTCAGGCCCCCGTTGGAAGCAGCATACTAACCAAACATCCTCCGGAACTTTTCTTATGATTCGCAGAAGTTGGGACGCTTATGGCAGGGACCGTTCAGAATGTAAAACTGACAGGTCGAAAAAGTGGCAGATTGTGACGCACTCAGTATATGACAGTCTTATAATATTTGAAACCCAGCGAAAAATCGGCCTCTATCGGGTTACAGTTTTCAATTTGGTCCGTTTGGTGGACACGAGAGGCCGTACCATTGGGGCAGATTCCGCGAAGTCGGAGCCGAGTCGGACGGAGACAATATGGTCTCCATTTCACTACACCTGTATCTATGAACGTTCTATAGAACAGAATCTGACACTTATTATTCAATTAAAACTGGCCGGTAAATACCTCTGTTATCTACCTTTATGACGACTGGACGAAGTCTGGGAAGGACATCCATCAAACTCTCGGATTTCCTAACTTACTCGCGGACAGTTCCTTTAGTCAACATTTTACTAATAATTAGACTTCATTCAGCGCCTTCTGTTAAATACATGATTTATTTTTTCTTTCTGTCCGCGATACAAATTTATTATGTCATGTTCCATGAATAAAATGATTGTTCTAAATTGGAAGTGCTTTTCAACGCTTTGCCTTGGAAATCTGCAGTTTCTCATGGGATTTTCTATCAATTTATTTTATGATATTATATAATTTTGATGATTGACAAATGCTAAACATGTAGCTTTATAACTGGTTAATTAGCATAGAAAACGCTACTACGTGAATGTTGAATATTTAGTGATTTGCTTCCGCCAGACAAAAATAATAATAGTATATGCCTTACTAAGCAATGGACAAACGTATTTTAAGTACATCTTTTTTAAAACTACAATATTATATTACATAAATGCTGCTTCATGAAGAATTAAAATTCAAGTGATTTGCTTCCACTGGACAAAAATATTAAAAGTACAATCCATAAAAAAACAATGTCCAATATAAATACATGTAGTGCATTTTTCGGATGATTGATTTTAAATGAAAACATTATTTGACACAACATGAAAAATACTGTATTATTGTAACTCATTAATTTTTGTATATTATTTTGCACTGTGCTTGTGCTTTGTTTTCAGATTCTAAATAAATAACTATATATATAGGGATTGGGAAAACACAATCAACTTCTATTTGAAGTACAGTTGTACAACTGAAAATTTCCATTTTAGAAATTAATATCGATTGATTTCAGTTGCTTGCAACAAAAATACAACGAAGTATCTGCTTCGTAAATAAACCATAACTTCAGTTGCATGTAACAAAAAAAAAATACAATTCATAAATCAAATATAACTTAATTGCATGCAAGTGCGTCTATTTAATAAATCGGCGTTCTTGTGATTCAGGAATTGGCAGAAATAAATATATATATTAAAAGTCTTCAAATTACGAAAAGTGACAATCAGAGTGTGGAGGTAGATTTACAGTTTTACCGTAAACTGTGCAAAAATTAGAATAAAAAATTACATAAGCAAAATAACAAAATTATACTCTATGACGTCAGATTCTCACGAAGGCTGTTATGAAATACATTCCATATATATATATATATATATATATATATATATATATATATATATATATATATATATATATATATATATATATATATATATATATATATATATATATATTGTTCGTATTTAATCAGCATATATTTTAATATGTTTTATTCTTGAATAACATTACTGTTTTCTCTGCATCCTTATTTCTTTAAAGCATCTAATATTGTCGGAATACACAACATAATCTCTTAAATGAAGTTTAAAATGTTAGCAAAACTTTACCCGCCAGGAACCCGTGAAATCTTCCCACTTTATTCAAACTCAATTTTGTTAAAAGAATAATATTTGCTAAGATTAATGAGATATCCTTCGTGTATTCCCTCAAGGTACTCTGATATTCCTCACGATATGCTAGTCATTGAAATGTGTGCGGTGGTGTGAGGCGGGCTTGAATGTCGAATTTCGATTGCTTATTGGTGAGATTTCGAGTAAGGGGCGGGTCAAGATTCCTTATATGGAAAATCGAGGTTGATAGTAAATCAGTAATGTGCTGATTTGGGGCACGCTGCGATTGAGAATCTTTGCTTATAATAACAGTGTATTGCTTATTCTCAACACACTCGATGCGAGAAACAGACACCGAAATATAAACACTCACTTAATATTTTGTGAAAACTTGTTCAATCATTTTGATTGAGTGCGAGAGGACCAAGAGAAATAAACTTGTGTGAATGTGACATTTTGATTCACGGAGAAAAATAATATTTGGAGTTTGTGTTTGAGTTTCAGGAATAACAATGCAACCAGGAAGCCTGCAACACCGCTATCATCCAAGTGCTAACGTTCCTGGTATAAGCAATGGTCCTGGACTAAGCATGATGCCAGCCTTATTCGGCGACCAAAACTATTACAGACATGGGGGATACACAACGATGGCCATGGGAGGACTTTCTGCCGCCATGTACTCCCCGGAGCAGTACGCACCCATGGGACGCCCGTCCCCCTACTCTCATTATGGGGCACCTCACCAGTCACCGAAAGACATGGTCAAACCCCCGTACAGCTACATAGCGCTTATTGCGATGGCGATACAGAGTCAGCCAGACAAAAAAGTCACTCTGAATGGAATTTACCAGTTTATTATGGACAGATTTCCATTTTATAGAGAAAACAAACAAGGATGGCAAAATAGTATACGACACAACTTGTCGCTAAACGAGTGTTTTGTCAAAATTCCCCGGGACGACAAAAAGCCAGGGAAGGGTAGTTATTGGAGTTTAGACCCGGACAGTTACAACATGTTTGATAACGGCAGCTATTTACGAAGAAGGAGAAGATTTAAAAAGAAAGATCTCAGGGGTAAACTTTCCAAAGTTACTGACGACTTAGAAAAATCGGAAAACCGCGACGATGAATCTCCGGATCGTGGACATGTTACAAAGGACGATCTAGGAAGTTCCGAATATTCCGATAATTCAAACAACGAAAAGGATAGCTTCTGTAAGAGTCGGGAGTGCGAACCCGACGTTAAATCATCTCGACCGCCGGTCACTACCAAACTGGAACCCTTGGAAAATTCTGATGATGTTATTGCTGCAACCAACCGATCCCATTCCAGCCCAAGTTCTCTACCAATCCCAAGCGATCCCATGGAACCGACAACTTCAAACTTTTCAGTAGAAAACATTATGACCAATTCTCACGTCAGTTCTAATTGTGACATACCTGGGGCCGGGTGTAATTATGCCCCTAGTCGCCCTACATCTCTAGTCAGTCCTTCTCTACTTTCGTATTCCAGATCCAACGATATCTATCGGAACATATCTACTTGCAACCAAAATATGTCGCCACCGCTTGGCTACAACTACCCCAGCAACATGGCTGCCCAAGCCCTTCTTACACAATCTACCGTCGGAAACGGAAATCCATCATTGAACATGTCACCCTCTGCAACAGAAGATGGCAGTGGTGGAGATGGGTCTCCACAGCCATCACCGGCCCATATCCACCCATCGTTACCGCAAGCCAACAGTATCAATCCCGCCATGTTTTCCATGTCGCAAACTCAATCTTACGGGCGTCCGCCTAACGGCTGGTATATGGCGACTCCGTCAGAAATTAATCATTTAAATAATCCGGACTTTCCTAGCCCCTCGCCATTTTCTACCGTCAGGGACGTATTTGAGAGCCAGAGACTACTCAGTGCCCAGGGGCAGTCTCAGTCCCCCTCTAGTTGTCAGCTGGCAGCCTTCAGAAACCCTTACAAGTCTGCTAGTGCTTACAGTTGTGATTACGGCAAATTTTAGAAATGCGTTGTGTTTTGAAAATGACATATGCGAACGATTATTTTTCTATCAGCAAATACACCAAAATACCAGCTAGTGCTAACTCTTGACACTTAAAGTGACAACAAAACTGTATAGTGTTTTCCCCTGTAAACATCCATTTCAAATTAATTAGTGTTCCGACCAAATGGATTATAAACATGAATATGTATGTTATTTATAATTTTTTTTATTGATTTACTCAATTTAGATGACTCGTTGATAGACATAATAAACTAATTATTCTCAAAAACTTAAATTTCTCATGAGGACACTTGCTACAAAAAAGGATGCATAGATAGATATCTATTTTTCGATTTATTTTGATTGTAAACGAATCATGCAGATATCAAATTCCTATTACATGTATATTAAGAAATTGCAAATTTTCTATGAAGTTCAAAATTCTTACTTTTTGTCATTTCCTTTATAAATCTTTGATTTTTTTGTTTGACTATACAGGACATTACTGAAAAATCTTGAATCAAAATTAAACTTTATGTAGTTAAGTTTATTCATTTTATTTATATAAACATGGATCTAGTATCAACTTTCACATTTTTTTTGTTTTAAAAAAAAGTTTGTGTGTAGCAAGTGGCCTTAAACAACCATTATTCCTTTTTGTTAATATTACGCATGGGTATCACATCTAATGTGCCCAACTGGTGGTAGATATTTAGTGTTATATCAAATTAATAAAATATTTCACTGTATATTACTGTATTTTGTAATTTACAATCTGCTATTCAGTATATTTCGAACGAAAATGTATATGAAAATTTAAGCTGGCATATTTTATATTAAATCAAGCTAGAATATTAGTGCAAGACAATATTACAATGTTGTACAATATAATACAACAATACAAAAGTACAGTATTAGTACAAGACCGTACCGTCTAATATTAAAGATATTCGACTCTTAAGAAATATACACAATTTAATTCAAATATCTGGATATTTTTTAAGTTTGGAATAATAAACATGAAATTTAAAATTTTTCCCCCCTGTTCTGATGTCTTTCGTCTTTGGACCAATAAAAAATCATTATACTTTGGTTTAACGAAAGGAATTATATTGTGAAAATGTAACTGCATGATTTCAAATCTGCAGATTTCTGTGTACTATTATCCTAACTGTATTAATTAAATATTACTTGAAAATATTCCACAGTGGGCTAAAATGCAATCTAACACTAGCTGATCTTGTTATGAATCTTTTCGGTCAGAAATATTCTCGCGTGTGAATTTTTTAGCTGTTTATTTGACATTTATTATCATAATAAACAACAGCTTTTCTGGATTTGCATTTGGTAAAATACTTTGAAAATACAATCCGACACCAGGGGATTTACCGAGCAAATATGCACGTGAGACACGGAGGGATACATTCTCGGGTCATATTTAGTTGCGGATTACATGAATTTTATTTAATTTTTTTTTTTAATAAATCGTATGACTTAACAGTCGTGGTGAAATGCTGGCATTTGAAATGCTGCACTTGAATACTTGCATAAAGAAATAATCAAAATGTTTTCATTTGAAATTTGACGCATCTTTGAGGATGGAGATCTTATCAGTACTCCATAAAATTTATTGACAAATTTCTTAATTCACTTACATGTACGTATATTTAAGATGTATATCATGAATACTGTTTAATTCTAATTAGTATGAATACATATCCTCCGTAATTTTAGATAACATCTTGTTAAGATTTAAAAACGCAAGTTTAAAAAATGTGCATTTGATTCTTGCTTCCATAAATAAAATCAGAAAGGTATATATGACCGCAACATTCTTTTTGAGAAAAAAAATGAGAAGAGTCAAAATTATGAAATTCTTTGATGACCCCTTTATTTATATCTATCTAACATTACATATATTTTTTTTTATTACAAAAGAAGAAGCTTAGAGATTTTCGATTTAAAAACTTGTGATATTCAGTAACTTTTGCCTACACTAGAACTGCGATTTTATCAATTAAAAGGGTTTAATAAGCTTTACCAATTCATTATTTATTTTACCAGAAGTAATGATTTTACGCGCTTTCGTGGCACTTCGACGGAATAGTGAATCGACCGTTGGGTGTTGCGTAATATTTCTGGATTCAATCCGTCATGGATGAAAATTGTGTTTGACGAGAATTTGATAAAATCTTATTCAACAATATATACGCTGTCTGTCATCGACCAGCGTAATGGTGTCAAATCTTTTCAAAAAGAGTATCTGTGTCGACATTTAACGCTTGAAATTTATCTAATTTGTTTTCAGAGTCTTTTATTCGTACATTATTTATTCTTTAATACCGGTCGTTTTCTTATACATGTAATGATATCAACATTGATGACCCTACATAAGTTATCCTGGGATACAATCATTGAAAATAATCGAAAAACTTTTAAGAACTGGACGATACGAGCTGGACCTAATATTTTGGTCAAACAAATAAATACCCAATACCGTAATTCTTATTAATTTCATTTTATTGTGCGGTTTACAAAAAATAAAAACCAACAATGTCTTTACGGCGATTATTATAGAGACGTTTGTTTGTTTGGGTTTTTGTTTTATTAATTCAAGTACAATTTCATTTATTTTTATTATTTATTTTAATTTAATAACGTTAAGAGATTCTATTGGAATATATACATAAAATGGGAAAATATTGACTCCAAGTCAAACAAGTCCAGTTTAAACAATTATATGCGTGATATGCCTTATTGCAAGTTTTTTTTCGCCTTTCATAAATTTCATGATAGTATTTTTTGATTGTTTTATTTCTTCACTCGAAACATAACAATTTTTCTTACTATATCATGATTCAAGTAAGACATAATCCAATTTTTTTTTGTAATATATATTCATCAACTACAGTGTACAGTATATATGTATTGACCTCGACATGTGATTCCTTGACGCGTGATTTAGCTCTCACATTTAATTTTAGCCAGTCTCATACGTATTGATCTTAATCCGATTTTATAATTCTTTGCGTCATTTACGAGGTGTATGTTTCATATTCTGCAATAAACCGTCTAACAGCTGACAGAACTCGAAAATATGAACACTCTGAATGACCAAGGAATTAAGAGAAATTTAAACCTTGCCCTTTCACTTCTTATAATAATGTTTGCCCATTTAAAAGAAAATAAAGATAAATTCGCCAAAATAAAAATGTAATCCTAAGAATTTTGTTGATACAAGTCTTTTTGGTTTGACAATTAATTAAGCAATGAATCTTAGTAATCTTGGAGTACAAACAAACAGAGGACGACGAGGCACACAGGTGTCTGAATAATAATCACAATATTTGCGGTGCTGGGGTACCCGTGATATACCCGGATAAATTAAATTTACTGCTAAATATATCTCAGGCGTAGTGGAAGAAAAGAAATGATTGAAATTTAAACCAACCAGGCAAATTAAAAATACTCCTTTTGTAACAGATACGGAACTTTGTCCGCGGTCGTTTTTGTCCGAGAGGTAAGATTATGTCCAACCGATCAATGTCCAGTTTGAGTGGTTTAGTGTGTCCTTTTAAACAAAATTAATAAATAGTAATTTAAGATGTTATTAAAACTAAGATACATGTTGAATTTTGAATTGATCTTTTTTATTAACAGAATAATCCCAACATATGCTATCAGCTGTTAATATGCATATAGATATCATCTACTTCTAGTTCAAATTTAGTGCCGAAAAACCGTCAGGCAGCACTGATTTAGAGTCATTTTTTTCCTCTCCTTCACTCACAGCTTTTAATCGATGTATGCGTCTATATGACTTTTTTAAATTCAAATTTTCATTTAAAGCTCGATTAGTATGAATGCCGTCATTAATTTCATATGTTCATAATTCCTATAAAACACGTATGCAAGATATCCTAACAAGCAATTATAAATGTATTCCGTGAGTTTTAAATTACGTCAGCTGCTTTGTCATCTGGTGATATGAATCAATTTTTTTCTGAACTTTGTGTTCGTAATAAAAAAAAATATTGTTGATACATAATTTGCACTTATTCTTTACAAAGTATAAAAATTCATCGGGTTTAGATGATGAGGAACAGTTCGTTAAAGGCCGGATTTTAAGTCCCTCCGCCGACTGGTAAATGACCGACTCACATGTTCCTCATAACCTGCAGTAATTGCATCTTTTCCACATCTTCTCCCCCAATTAATCTCCCTCTGTCGAGGTACACATCGCACTTCAAAGACAAGCGTATGTATACATTTGTAAAGGTGAAATCCCCAGTTTTCAAAACATTTCCAGACGAATTGCACCATCGTAATACAATGTGCTTGATGAATTCTCGTTTGCACGAGACTTCTAAGGAGATTGCGATTCCATCTTTCAAACGAAACGATTACAAGCTCATTGGAGTTGGTAATGGGTTATGCAGATATGATTAAGCTACAATATAGGACTTTACTGTGGAGAAAAATGTTTTAAAAGACATTTCGGGCAATGACACATATGCTCTAGTTTTGTCATTCAGCTTACTGTGGATTTCACAAATTGCTCCTTTGTTGATATTTCAATATTTACAGTGATCTAGTCTTACCACACTGTGGAGATGAAAACTCCTCCAAAAATTTGAAATTTAATGTATCAGTTAAAAAAAACTAGATTAATACCGAAGAAATGTTGGATTCTTTTGCATTTATTTGTAGTGAATAAAAACCGAAACAAGTTTCTCCGAAATTTCACGAAACATTTACTGTTCTTTACTATTATATAAATTATTAAAGACAATTAAATCCTAAATCCCATATTTATAGACAGTATTAATTTTTTGAACAACACGCAAAGCATACAGAGCAACGGTGACCAATACAATCAAGTCAAAGACTATCAATCAAATTACTGGAACATTCGTCGTTTCAAAATTATGGGAAAAAAATAATTGGAAATTGATTAAATATATCTCTTTTTTAAAAAAAACTACCTTTAAAATAAATTCACTTCCATTGTATACTGAAGAATGTCTTCGACGGTATTGAACTAATTTTTTTATGTTCATTTATCTAAATTTCAATAGAAGATATCGTAATCATATTGTAATTGCGTGTTTTAGAATTTCAGATATTTAAAACAATTTTGAAGAGAATGCGAGTGAGAATTCCATTAGTCTGGAATAATGTTCTGACGTCGCAGTTTTCAACAAGAGATCTGTTCCTTCTATTAGTACACAAAGTCAGGCTCAACTTCAAAACTTTCTTCTCTCTGACCGTGTAATTAAAGACCGCTAAGGACAAGAATTCACTGGTGTACACAGAGTCAGCAAAGGGCAAACAATCAACGATCTATCCTGATACTATACTAAGAATCGATAACATTAAGTCTGTGTTCCTGCATTACGAACGATAACTCGTACTGCTAATAGGAAATAGCCATTATACTACGGAAGATGGCAAGATTCTTTCATGTATGGCAGCGAGTGTATCTTAAACCTGAATCTATTTTGTCAATACTTTATATTTGATATTGCTACATTCTGTATTACATATGAGAAATAATAGTAAAGAAAATCGGCTAGGATCTCCTAAAGTAGCTTACTCTAAAGACAAAATGTGCTGAGAATGGATAATTGTCACCAAAATCACTAGAATATACAAATAAATTCTAAATCAAAATGATTCAGATTTTGTCTGCAGGGATTATATGGCATAATAATCTTTTACAGTAGCATCATTCTACATCGGGATGCTTTCGTTATTTTTAGATACAGTGCCATCTATATTTTCAGTATAGCCTAATGACACATGAATTTAAACTTTTTAATGGTAATAAATTTCATTGTCCGGTTTAATTTGATATAAAAATTTTCTGTATGTTGCATGTATATTGCGTATATGAGTTTTCGAAAGTCTCCTCTCAGACTTTTAAGGCACCTTCAGTACTCATCCTAGAGATCAGCTTGTTTGCAATTTCTTTCTGGGGAGCCCGATCACCCCCACTTTATTTTATGTCATAAATAATATGATATCTTAAATAAAACACATAGAATGGGAATTACATCACCACTACTGAAAAATAAAAATAAATATAAAAAAGTAATAAATAAATCTAAGGAAAAACGGGTAAAATAATTTGCTTGTGAGGATTCTCTGTATGTCAAAAAATCAGTTTAATTTCGATGAAACATAGGCAGGCCTATGGGCGACTGGAATGTACTATGCTGGAGCAAACAAGTTCGGGGCGTAGTAGAGCTTACTTTTCTTTTATCGGATACGCTTGCAAAGGGAAAAAAATATGTTTATTATATTTGTAATTTTCATTAAAAAAATAATTGAAATTGATTCATTGTCGTTCACACAAATTACAACACTACAGAACAGAACATTTATTTTCTAATTTACCCGGTAGAGCCCATAACAGACAAGTATGAAATTATTACAATAATAAAGAAAAGATATGCCAATGGATAGTATAACAATTTGTAAATGACATTACTCATTTCAACAATAATATTGTACTATTTCAGTTAAAGGGAATACTATATATAAAAGTGTATGGCTACTACAACATGTTATCATTTATGAATTTGCCCACAGAATTAAGAGTTTCTTTGTCTTCATGTATCTGTATACATGTACACTCTGAAAAATACTTTTTTTGTATATGCTTGAACATACAAAAGTCTTATTTCTTTTTTTTTTTTAATGATTATTAGTCATTCTAAGACCTCCCCGCGAGGCGAGAGGAGCCCTACAGCACCGTCACATGCTGCTCATTAGTCGTGACATGCTCTGTTGCCATATTCTTCCTGCAACGCAGTCTAAAGTTTCTGTCGACTTCGAAGAAGTGTTAGAAGAACCGAAATTCTTTCTTATTGCGTGGACCCTGATGTCCCCGCAAAAAATGTGAGGTTAAGAGGGATGCTATGCAGAAAAGTAAGACTGTGTATGCCTCAGAATGCTAGATAGTTCGCCCCATAGGACTACTTGCCCTCAAGATGTCCTATACTCGAATAAAAACTCGCCCTACTCGAATAAGAACTCACCCATCATTGAAAACTCGCTTTTCTGTACATTTTATTTATTTTAAGCGTATCCAAAATTAAAATTTACTCTTATGTTGTAAATAAAAAAATACATGTATTCTACTTTAGTTTTATATATGTGGTGAACACAAGGGAATTTCAATTTCCAGGGTCAGGGATCGCGTGCTAATTCATAATAATTTACATTTCCGGCGCGGATGTTAAACATTTATACAAAATGGAGTCGCTTCCTATTTACTAAAGTATTGAATAGACAGAGTTGAAAGTTCCTCCTATAGTATATTATAGGTAATATCTTACATTCAATAAAGTTAAACTCCATACTCTACAGATAAGAGATCTCCCTACATTTATTTCAAAGTTTGTGATGGGGTGGGGGGTGGGGGTGTTGTGTCATGGACGCCTACGTAACCCATTCGAGGTTATTTTTTTCCGCTCGTCGGAAGGATCCGAGAAGATGCGATTGCTCGCTCCCGCAGTTTTGACACCTCCTCTGTTCTAGAGCAACTACTCAAATTCGTGAGACAAGAATAGCACTGCGTGAGTGGCATGTTTATTTAACTACTTCAGCCTTGTCGTCACATAAATTTAGTTTTTGAAAATATTTCATTGGTGTAAAAATAATATCTCTAACTTATATCAAAATTTCACTGCTCTTTAGTGCCAAAAAATATATAGTGACTTTGAAATGACCTTGAAGAAAATCATGACCAATTACCGGTATAAATCGCTTTTTTTGCATTAAAAAAACCCATTGTCTACACCCAGTGTCAAGTGATATGAATATGGTAATACAACAAACATGACATTCACATGACAACTCTTTCCTTTTTCAATTTCGTGGAAGAATTATTATACAGGATATTTTTTTTATGATTTAAAACTTCATAGCTCCAAAGACAGACAGAAACTGTTATGTATTTTAGCTTTTCTGATGAAGAACAGAAATATATTGGGAAAAATCGGAGAAAAATTCCATTCAAAAGAACGTACATGTATATATTATTTGTTAAATCTTAATTCCTGCTTCAATGTAAATAGATTAAAATTAACTCAAATCATGTAGCTCGGGGTTTTTGTCGGATGGCAGAAAATTCAAAACAAGCGAGTTTATTGGTCTGTAAAGACGATTATAAAGGGTTAGGTGACGGAAAAAATATACAGGTTGGTTAAAGAATATGTCTAGAATTTGGGAAGAAGGGTGGTTGATTGTCCAAATGAATGCTGGAAAGTGGAGAAATAAATTCCCAAAAGTGCACAGAAAATCTTGCGCCGTAAATTGCACTTCATTTGCATTACGGGATCTGTAGCGTTATGGTCAAAGATAAAATAAAAAACCATAACGCTACAGTTCTGCAGCTAAATCCATTTTAAAGGCAAAAAGGTTTTTTTGGGGGGGGGGGGGTTACCGTTCGGAGGCCGGAGGGGCGATGATTTAAGCTTAAGTGGGTATGGTTAACTTATATCGCTAAAACAAGATAATAAATATGATGAGTACAGACTTGTAACGAGATAAAGAGACACGTCGGTATCTGTAAGTCCCCGGGATCAATGGTCAAAGATAGCGTCTTAAAGGGGGACTTCATCGATGTACTCCTTAATCACACTGCACGAGGTTCGGGTATTAATCGTAAAATTATTATAGACTTTATCATATCTGATATATATATTATATGTTTCCGATGAATAACGGGATTTCTAGGCAGTGCAGTGTTTGAATATGTCAAAATGGTCAATAGTGATCGCCATTTTTGCTGCTGCTGTTGGTTACCAAGTTTTCAACTCATTTCGACATCCCATCCCCTTGGACGTGGAGGATAGTGACAAAATCTCAATATTGGACGCCATCGGTCGCATCGGAAAGAGTCTGGTATGTTCAGTTTAATGTTAAAACACCACAGAAGCGAAAAGGAAATTGAGAATCCAAATTCAAATACATATTTTTTTTAAAATTCTACGTGCATTCATCTCCAGGTGTTGACTGCAGCGAAATTTGACGTGGACTTGGCGGCAATCAAACCAGTAAAATTACTGGTGGACAATGTATACTCTCTGATTCTGAATGGAGTTTCTCCAGAAGTATATAAAGATATTGAGGTAGCTCAATCTCTATCAACCCTTTATATCCTTGACAGTGAATGCTTAGCGATATCAAACTGCTGTAGAAGGTTGGTCATACCCTTAATAATTGTTGTATTTTTTAAAAATATAGATTCAGGATACATCAATAGCAGATGTCCCAGTGCGAGTGTTTATTCCGAGGAAGCGTAAGACTGCCTTGTTTCCCGCCATGATATACTTACACGGAGGAGGATGGTCCTGGCTATCTGTTGGCAAGTATTTATAAGTACTGTGCCTATTATATATTTGCCCATTCGTTTCAAATATTACCAATACTATTATTCTAATACAAGTGTTAAAATAATACTTTTTGGTAGATGTCTACAGTAGATTTCTCAGCCATCTTTCTAACGCCACAGGACTCCTAATCATTGCCCCAAGATATCGACAATCTCCTGAACAAGTCTTTCCAGCTAATCTGGAAGACTGTCGCAGGGTTACTTGGGCAACGTTGGCGGGAAAAAGTGGACTTTCAATCCATACGAGTTACGTCATTATTGCTGGGGATGAAGCTGGAGGCAACATGGCCGCCTCTTTAGCCATAGAATTTCGTTCAAAAATTTTCATGCAGATTCTTATCAATCCCATGTTGCAAATGTTTGATTTCCAGACTCCATCCTTCCAAGATCATAAAGAATTGTTATCAGGTATTGCGTCACCTGCAAGATCAGCTATATCGTGGTTGAGATATACTGGTAATCCTATTAGCTGGTTTCCAGTCTTGCTAAAAAATGCTCACCGATTCCCATCGCTAGAAGTCATGAAACACCAGTCATACATGGACTCAAAATCTTACCTACCGTCCTACCTAAAACTGACAAATTCGCATACGGTTCAATCCCAGGAATATGACAGTGTTGTAAGCAATGCAATGAAAAAGTTCATAACTTCGGAATCTCTCTGTCCTGCACTAACTAATAATGTTAGAGGTGTTCCCAATATGTATATAATTACTTCACAATTTGATGTGTTTAGGGATGAGGCAGTCATGTACATCACGAGACTGCATGAAGAAAGTGGTTCTAAGGTGAAATTAAAACACTACAAACAAGCTTTCCATGGCTTCTTCCCGTTTGCTGGAAACAAAGGTTGGTTTCAGTTTAAAGTGAGTGACCAGGCTCTGCAAGAATTGGTTGAGTTTATCAGTTACCAGGTGCACAGAGTGATGAAGAACCCATCATCTTAACAATGTTAGATGGATTTAAGTATTCGGAATAAACATTTGAAAATAAATCTCAGCACATAAGTAATGTCATTTTTTCTATTACGGGTCGCTAATAGGCGGTCTCTTTACATATATGCCTTTCTGCTGTGCTTTTGTACACGTTCCAGAAATACTAACTTTCGTTTAAGATGAATATATATAAACACTGATAAAGACAGCAAGCTTTCCCGCCGGAAATTGCAACAGAGCAAGCTAGTCAGCGATGTTTATTGTACTGATTTAGATTTATACAGTGTATCTCAAAAATAATTACCACTTGTAACAAACTATATTTACTTTTAAAAATAACATTACTTGGAATAATGTAATGAGGCATTATTTTTAGGAAACTTTTTAAAAAGTTGGAATCGTGAAAATGCAATCACTTGCGGTTAAATCATTCTTTAAAAAAGAAAAAAAATTAGCGCAAGTGCAGTATGGGCTTTTTTTTAGCCTGGGCCCCTTCCTCGTTTTCCCTCTAATTAAGGCTCTTGGAGTCTCAAATATGAAAAAAATAATTTTAATATTTTAAAGTGCAACATGCACTTTTAGGGGAAAACAGTAAAATTAATAAATCAACTTCTTTGCGTCATGATGTTTAGATTTTGTCCTTGATATATTTACGGAATCGCAATTAAACAAAACTGCAGAGGCCGAAATCTTACCAAAATGTAACCATACACAAATTATGAAGCTCTCCTCAACAAATATTTACAAGTAAGACAAAATCTCAAACCAGATTATTGTTTCTTAAGATCCACTGGTTACATAAAACTACATATCACTTGCTGCATCTTAAGGAGGGATTCTTAAGCTTGTCTCTTCTGAATGAATTAAATATACAAAGTATATTGGCTTAAATGTATTTTATATTTAGATGTTAGGGATTTTTAAAGATTATTTTTCTTTCCTTCTAATAATTGTACAACTTTAAATAGAAGTGGTAAGTTGCGTATGAAGTATAGCAGGGACTATATTTTTGGCGGAACGGCAGCGTATGAAAAGATTTTCTGCTTCTCAAAATTACTGCAGAATAATGAATTTGTCAATATTTTTAAACAATCAAAGGCTTAAAGGAATTTTCCAAAGTAAATGATATATATGATTATGGACTAAAGTTTTTAAAATATATCAAATAAATATAGTTTCCCAAATAAACTACAATTTCGTTACCTTTTGACAGCTTCCAATCTAAGAACAGATTTGATTAAAAAAATTAGTAAAAAGTGTTTTTCCTTCTAATTAAATGCAAGTTTGTTCCAGGTAGCAACTTAGGAATGGACCTGTTTAAAAAACTCTGGACTTATTCAATCATCTAGAAATACAGGTCAAATGCAGCATCCTGAGCATTTCTAGTATTGTGCATGCCTAGATGCATCACACACTCAAATCTGGTTCTGGTATGGCTTATATTTACTTTAAATTGGACCTGCTCTGTAAACTTTTAACTCATCCAGAAAATGTATGTCGGAAGCAGCATCCGAAGCAAGTCTGGTAGTGTGCATCCCTGAATTTATCATCTATGCAAGGTTGGTTCAGGTTGGGCTTATCTTTCTTGGGAAATGGACCTCCTCCAAAAACTTTAATCTGGTGGGTGCGTATCATTATCGCTATATTTTCAAAATTTTCATTACCGCTACATGCACATTACCGCTACAAAAAAGGATACATTACCGCTATATTTAAAAGTATACATTTCCGCTACATTGCCTCAGGGACCTATATACTAAGTATAGTATATAGGTCCCTGATTGCCTCTTTCATTAGCCAGCGTCATATGCGTGTACAGTACAACATATACATGCATAAGACCTTTTTACCCTGCTCACCACGGGGAGGTGAAAGTAGGACTTTGAGAATTTTTTTTTAAAAACTACTTTATTTCATAAAACATTTTAAAAAAGGAGATGGGCCAACATAGCGTGCAGAAAGCCTATAGCTTCAGATATATAAAAATCATGTTCAGTTTGTGAATTTAGTATTTAGAGTAAAGTTCTCATTATTGAAATTTATGAAATTATGATAAACAAAACTTTTCTGAGGAAAATTTTCTCGGCAAAATTTATTCTTTTATTAAAAAAATTAACGTGGTATTCATTGGGGTTCGAACCCTACAATAAAAATCCTGAGTATCATTTTCTTACGAGACTAGCACGCTAACCACTAGACTACGCAAGATCTGATGAATAGTGGCATTAAAATCATGTTTGTGATATGACCCTTGACTTAATGGACTTCAAGTATTTCTCGAAAAGCTGCGAATGTTATGTCATAAAAGTATATTTTTAATGTATAGTGGGTCATTGCTCCATATTTTTGGTAACCAAAAAATGTACATTTTTATGCAAACTTTGAGGATTAACTTTCAAAAAGGTGGAGCGAAGACCCACTCATATCGAAAAATAGTATTATAGTATGAGAAAATGACTCTTTTAGCCCGCTTTTGTGTGTGTCTAATATTTCACAGGCAAATAATTTCAATCTTTGCGGGATTTTTGCAAATTGTAGAGATTTTACGTAAAGTATATTTTTATGTTAGACGAAATATCAAGGAAAATTTTGATATAATTGAAATTTAATTTTTCATCTTCATGTTTGTCACACTATAGGCTTATCGCTCGTCATGTTCACCCATCTCCTTTAAAATCAAGCACTGTCCATAGATATAACACACGGTCTTTACACATTCTTTAGACAATTTGGAGTCTTACTTATATTTTTTTTTTTATATCCATTGATAACCAATCCTGCATTGCAGCGATTAGTCACAACCTTCACAATAGTAGCCATGACATTCGGCACTCTCTACCATCGGCTCATACATTCACCTTTGTCGTTGGCTCGCTTATATCACAGTGATAAGCACAAGAAATAGTGCAGTTTTTTAAATTTATTATATTTAATGTCTGAGCTAATGATAGTCCTTAAAAATAGGTATTTACTAAATAGATCTAAAACTATTGGTTAAATTTGAAATAATCCTTGAAATGTTATGTTTTTTACGTTATGTCAAAAATCTTGACGCGAGCCCATTGCAGAGGTGTCTGAGAGAGGAACGAACGACAACTCTGCATAGGAGATTGGACATTCGGGTGTTGCTAAAACGCGGAACGGAAAACGGAACGGAACGGAAAATCTTATGTCAAGTTATTCACTAACCATAGGAATAACTCAGATATAGGAAGCATGATTCTTTATTTACATGTAGTTCATATCTAAATTAAAAGTTATCGATCGTACATGTAGCTCTGTGATTTATTCATGAATTTTTTCCCTCATATCATGTAGCATATATACATGCAATAGTCAATAAAATACACACTAATTAGACTCGCATCCCAATTATCTATTAGAATGCGTCTTTTATCATTCATCCAAATCCGATTTAAAAAAAAAAACAAAACTAGTAGACTAATTGTTCTCGAACAATTAGAGGTCTTTCCACCTTCTTTAAATATTATATATATTCTTCATATTTAACTCTCTACTGTTTATATTTATACAAGAGAAACCAGATATGGATTGAGAGATGGAAAAAATGAAAATTTTAAAAATTTTGAAATGACCTTGACCTTTGACCTTGAACAAATATTCAAGGTCAAGGGTCACATGGCACTTGACCCCATGCTTCTACAACTTTTAGTTTTAAAGTTATAAAGTTTAGTAGTAAGCACAAAGATGTTAAAGGGCGATAACTCATATAAGGTCATCGGACCTTTTTGCACTGAATAGATTGAAGTTGTGTCTAAAGACCCTGAAGACATTAGTGAAGGTTTCGTGTCTCTGCGGTTTACAGTTTCGGAGAAATAGGGATAGCAAGGTTTTTCGCACAAAGGGCAATTACTTTCAAAGGGGTTAAGTTTAGGGGACAAGAATGAAATCTTTGAAATAGTTTTGAGAGTACAAATTAAAGATGTAAAGAAATATAGCATATGTTAAAAGACAAAAGAGCTATAAAAAGAGCTAAATTCTCTTAAATTTTAAATGACCTTGACCTTTGACCTTGACATAAACTTCAAAGTTTACGGTCAAAGAATCTAATGCAGTTGGTTGCATGTCTCTACGACTTATCGTTTTGAAAATTTTTAATTATTTGTAAACATCAAAAACTTTCAGGGGCAATAACACATTGAAGGGATCGACGAATACTTTCGCGATGCATAGATTGAAGAGTCTACTAAAGTAGTCGAAGACATCAGTGATTTTTTCATATCTCTGCGGTTTACGGTTTCGAAGGAGGAGCGATAACAAGCTTTTTTGCGAAAGGGGTAATAACTCCTTAAGGAGTCAAAGTTCATATTCGCAGGGTCAACTGCAAAAATCTTCTTATGGACTATAAATCTTTTCGATAAAACTTGAAACTCAAAATCACACGGCGGAAAAATAATAAAAAAAAAATAAGAAACAGAATAAAATCAATAGGTCTTTCCACAGAAAGGTGGAAAGACCTAAAAATCTTATTCGTCAAAGACAAAACCGTCGTTTTTTATCAATTATGACGAAAGTAGCTTGTTGTTTTGAAACAGGCAAGAAGAAAGAGAGAGGTAGAGTATGTACACATTTGTGTTAGAGACAACGATTACTGGCATTAAGGGGAGAATTTTTTTAAAAACTTTATTACAAATAAAGTAGTGTTGATGTTATCCAAGGCATCTGAAACGGGGAAAATTTATCATATATGGCCAAATTGTGCAAAACAGCGCAATTTAAATAACAATAACATAAAGATGGAATTCATTAGGAAATTGCATATAATCGAGAAAATATAGACTATAGTTAATTATATTTTAGTACTTGAAAGGAAAGGGGGGGGGGGGTACAGAGATCAACGTTATCCACGCTTAAGATACCTGTACATATGCATTAACATTAGGGATTTTTTTTTTTAATTATATGGTTCATAAAGATATAGAATACTAGCCGTTCATATTGATCAGTGTGAATTTCAATAACTTTTTTTTTGTTCCACTCATCCATATTTTACCACAACGACATGTTACATCTATGTTTGGCATTAGAT